CATTTTCTTTTCTCAAAAAACCTTTTCCACATATCAATTTTTTTTTCTAACACTTAATAGCCAACTTTCACTTCATCACTATTACTCTATCTCACTTCTGTCACTACTCTTATCACTCCCACCTCTTTCTCCTAAAACCTTACCAGCATTGGAGTCAAGCCCTTCCAACCATTCCCACGATCACAATTTACTTTTAATAAAAACAGGCTTATTGACTTAACCAAATTCGAATACAAATGAAACTCTTAAGTGGAAAACAGTTGAAAATAACTTGAATACATAACGGAAAGTACGTTAAACAACATATCTATTACATATAAGTATAACCAAAGGAGACTCGGGCAAGGTTAAACTTCTTGCAGCCACTTCTCTTTTGTGTTTACAGAGGTTTGTGTGCTATGAGGGATGGAAAGTAAGTAGAGTTTACTAGAGGGAATCGATACTACAACACTAAGGGAAGATAGCAGAGAAAGATGGCTTTTCCTAAGGGAACTATAGCTAAAAAGGACTGGATCTGGACAAGATTTAACTTTCTGGGTACGAACTGGCTTGAGAGCAGGGTTTGTATGTCTTTTGATTGGTTGGTTGAGTGTCCCTGTCTCTTGTGACCCTTTCTCCTTTTATAGACAATTTGGCCCGACCCTTCTTGCCTTGCCTTTAACTGATATCTTTTTGTAGGGCGCAGTGAATCATCATCTATTTACTTCTTCATGCCATTGGAAAGTGCTTTTTGGCCTGGTAGTGAGTTGTTTTCTGTCACCCATCACTTCAATCATAGGCATGTGACCTATGCCTTGGCTGAAATGGCTTCCAATTTGCTTTAGGCCTATCGACTGGGCTTGGGCAAGTCCTCATTTGCTTTGACGTCATTGGGCCTTCATTACTACAAAGCCCAGAGTTAAATATTAATCCAAACAGTTTGTTATTATTTTTTACCCTTAGACATATATGTGTTAAAATGTTCTTCCTGACACTGATCTTTTAACTGTAGTGGTGGTATTAACCCGAGATATACTTGAGCCTTGAGGTTAGCTGAGTAGCATCCAATAGATTTTAGGTTTTGCTCAAATAGAATATTGGGAAGCTTGTGAGTGCCTAGCACAAAATTGGTTATCTGTTCTAGGTCCTTTGATTTTCACAAGAAATTTCTTCATCGGCGTAAATGACGGGAAGCTCAACTTGCGCCATATTTCTGACTTCCCTCATAGCGTTCTCTCTATAATACTAACATGTTTCCCATTATCGGTTTTCAGTAACTTAAGCTATGTTAGTTTTGAATTTTCCAAGTCTTGATATTGAGCTCAGAAGTTCATTCTTTTGTCAAAATTTTGAACTTGAGTATCTTTACGCCTGACTTGAGTTGAAGTGTTTAACCCATGGACACTTGGTCCTGCTCAATTAGAGCAAGTCTCAAGATGTAAGACCAAGACAAAGTGCAAGCTGTGGGGCGCTGTTTTATAGTTTTTGTGCCTATCTCCTATATATCTGATGTACATATATATATATATATATATTATCTTTCTTAAGGAGACTACTCCTAAAGATAAGATCCGGGAAGCACATCGGAGGGTGATGGTTGCTAACCATCCAGATGCAGGGGTTAGCCATTACCTTGCATCCAAAATTAACGAAGCTAAAGAAATGTTGCTTGGAAGAACCAAGGGCACCGGCTCTGCGTTTTGATTGTATTAACTTGTCCTTTGCGTAGCCATTCTTGCGAAGGTTTCACATAGTGAGTTTTAGGAGTGTCATCTCTGTTTCAGATCAATAATTTTCGGCGTATGTGAACGAGCAACGAGGCGATTCTGTAGCAGTGAAATTATAACTTGAGAATCCTGTAGTTGGAACCCTAATGGGAACTCTTGTACGTTTAATTTCATGAAATTTCTTTAGCAGTGAAGTCATATGTCTGGGATCTTTGCTAGTTTGCTTTGCCCCTGAAAACTCAGCAGGAATTCCTCGATAGGACACGTATTTTTGTTGTTGTACACCTCTGTCAATTTAATTCTCTCCTACACAAACTATTTAATATGGAAAAATAAGCTGTGAAAAAGACTAAAAACCCTTCTCTTCACTAAAGACTAAACAACCAAGTTTCTGTTATAAATAGCCAAAAGTAAGTGAGAAAATATTTGCTAGAGATAGAAGCAGAATGGGTGCAATGTATTACACTGTTTATTTTCATAATTGTTTCACAAAAGGGATTCAGGTAAAGAGGGAGGAAGGGATATTCGTATTATTACTTTTACTTTTGATCTGGTGTGTTGTTTGATCATACATTGCATGCTCTTTATACAGTCATTTACGTACATAAGTCTACAAGGCACATTAAGGCATGTTGAAAATCAAGCCATATAAGTTGAAAATCATGTCATCCAACAATAACAAATCTGACAATACCACCATTTTAGTTATCCTTACATTTTAACTTTTGACTAAACCATGTGGGCATTCAAACCACCAACTTTTACAACATTTTCTTTTTTGTAATATGGGACAAAGCCACAACTTTTACAGCATTTTCTTTAAAGATGGCGTGAGAGAATATTTACAGTGATTTGGAGATGGGGGATGATATAGGTGATGTGTGGGAGATTTACTATTTGGAAAATAATAAGACACATCGTATATCTTTGTTTAATCAACATGTTATTTTAGGTTGATTTATTCAGTTTAAAAGTCAAAAATAAAAAGAGGTATGTTATAAAAATCCCTTAGCTTGTTTTTTTTTTTTTTTTTGTTACCGACTTTCAAGCCATTATATCAAATTCAATGGTCACTGTTCATTTATTTTAAGCCATTGAATAAAATCAACAGTGAATTGCAATCTGTGCTACGCACCGAAGGTAAATGGATTGGGAGAATGGAGAAGTGTTGGAACTTGAAAGAGACGAGAGCCACCAGAAAACTCACAAAATTGGTTGCACCAATATTGGAGAGTGGATGATAGCTCGGACACCAAAAACAGAGTCCTCATTCAATGCCTGTAACTGACTTTATTTACAGTTGAAAATCACACATTCAGCAGCATCCCATGTGTCAATATTTACTGCACGCCCATCTTCATTTAAATTTACTCGGTTAATAAATATTAAAAATAAATACATTGGACGGTTGTGATTTATCCAAGATTTGTATAAATTTGGTTCCCTCCATTTCTCTGCGTTCCCACATTCGACTGCCTACAGTCTCGATCCTCACTCATCTTCCTCTTCTTAATTCACAACAACAACAATTTCGGTTTCGAATTCACCTTCATATTCCTCTTTGCCACCAATCGTCTTCTCAGTGTCACTGCCTCTGCTGCCTCCCAACCTCTTACTTTCCCAGCCTTACTAACCCCACCACCACCGTGTCCTCTAATGACACTGCCGTCACCGTAACGCCGACACTCTCAACCTTTTACTTTGTGGAGGTCCGAATTGGGCTTCCACGGTTCACCGTGACACTGGCTTTCTCTACGTCATCCCCGACAACCTGGGTACAGTAGGGTGGGTGTAGTCTGTTTGGTCGTCCCCTCCAATTATATGAACTTCAAAACCTCAGATGGTTTCAAATCGATTCCTGGGGAGATGATGCCAAATATTGCAGTCCCCATGTCGCCAAAACAGCCACAGCGGCAGATCCGTGTCGGTACGACCTTGGCTTCAACCAAGGGATCTTGGGGATTGACACCTTGTCATTGGTGTCGCCTTCATCCACTTCTAGTCCACCGCCGTCCTTGAAGATAAAACACTTTATCTTCGGCCTGGTAAACAAAACATCGCCATTTCGGCGGGCACAGTCTGATAGTCGGACAGCCCCGGTCACCCTCTTGTACAAGGAGGCTTATTTCTCCCACTTTGATTACGAGACCCCGACTTACGATGTCTGCTATTACAACCAGGATCTTGAGTCCATCACCACCCTCACTTACCCGAACATTTCCTACCATTTTGAAGGAGGAGCGGTGTTGCAGCTACTGGAATCTCAAGCCTTCCTCACCTTTGGGGATGAGCTTCAAACGTGCATGGTAATGATCCCGAAGACTGGGACAGAGCCAAATCGGCTGGGTGCGTTGCAGCAAAGAGGGTGGATATTCACCTACAATCTCCACCATTTCGCTCTGAATGGGTCTGCCGCTGTCCAACTATCGGACTGTGCGCGCCGAAGTTGGCGATGTTTTGTTTACCCAGGCCGAAGATAAAGTCGTTTATCTTCAAGGACGGCGGTGGACTGGAAGTGGATGAAGGCGACACCAATGACAAGGTGTCAATCCCCAAGATCCCTTGCCTGAAGCCAAGGTCGTACCGACACAGGTCTGCCGATGTGGCTGTTTTGGCGACAGGGGATGCAATATCTGGCATCGTCCCGGGAAGGGGTGCAAAACCATGTGTTGAAGTTCATATATTTTGAGAGGACGTCCAAACAGACTACGAATTGCATTCGGCCTACTGCACCCTGGTTGTTGGGGTTGACGTAGAGAGAGCCAGTTTCACGGTGAACCATGGAAGCCCAATTCGGACCTCAACAAAGTAATAGGCCGAGAGTGTCAGCGTAACGGTGACGGCAGTGTCATTGGAAGACATGGTGGTGGTGGGGATAGTAAGGCTGGGGAAAGTAAGAGGTTGGGAGGCAGAGGCAGTGACAGTGAGAAGAAGATTGGTGGCGAAGGGGAGATGAAGGTGAATTTGAATTCGAAATTGTTGTTGCTGTGAATTTAGAAGAGAGAGATGAATGATGATCGAGACAGTAGGCAGTAGAATGTGTGAATGCAGATAAATGGAGGGAGCCAAATTTGTACAAATCTTGGATAAATCACAACCGTCCAATATTTTTGTTTTAAAATGTACCATTTGTTTTGCAACTCCATGGAAAACTCTATTTACTGTCAAGAATTCAAAAGAACGAACGAAAACAACTTCCCAAGATCTGCCAAACACCGTGATACTTGTACGGCAAAAGAATTTAAATCTGGGTGTGAGCAAAAGAATTTAAATCACCTCACAATCTACATTGCATTCAAATGGAAAACTGAAAGCTTCTACTTTTTATTACTGTCAAGAATATGCAAATCCGAACGACATTCAGGACACACGTCCTCACAAAACATTACGTTGTTTACCCTTTCGTGGCCTTCGATGTTTAACAGTTAGATACAAACATTCGTATGAGTTATGAATCCAAAAGAGAGAGAACAACTTCCATTTGTTGAATCACATGTGATACAGTGAGTCGTGGACGGTGAGAAAAAACCATACCACCAGAGGAGACGCAAACTTCACGTAAACTGTGGCACCATTGCTTCACAGCATCTCGTCATCAAACGCGCTAATCCTCCAAAACTTTTCGAACTCAACTTCACGCTCTGCTGAGCAGAGGAGCATCCTGCGGTTAATTCTATGGTATTTACATATCAGAATTCTACGTAAAAGGAACCAATTATCAGAAACGATTAGCAAGTCGCAAGAGAATCAAGCATTTGTTGATCTACATTTGTTGATCTATCTTCCCCAGTTGATCTCTGACAGAGTATCAAGCATTTGTTGATATCTCTTCTGAGTTACCTTCCAATGACGTTGTATCTATATCCAATTTTTCGACTACTGGACCTTGAGGGCTTCCAAAAAGAGTAGTGAAGATCTGTCTATGGCATTCATCGCAGAAGTACAAGTACGAGAAGTGGCCTTCATTTGGCAGCT